TTTTTTTTCTGCACAGTACTGTACTGCAATGTACCTAAATGTACTGGAACACACACGCTCCAAATTAAGATGAAAAAAAAAAAGGCGGAAAAAACTCCGAAACGCATCAAAAACACAAAAATGTGCCTGCAGAAACACATCCGGACTGCATCCAGACTGCATTTCTGTGGTGTGAACTGGCCCTGAAAGAGACTTCAGCTGTAAGATCCATTCATAAAGCATGAAGGATTGCTCGGCCTATGTCTGTTTGCTATATCTTTAGTGGAACACCGCATTGTAACTGCATCATTAAAGAATTGAAGGGATGTACATGTACACTTAGACTGATGTTGCACGCCAGTGACGGAAAGTAAGATACGTGTTGTTTTCATGTGTCACTCTCTTGCTGGTTGGATAAGCAAGACATCGCTCCCTTGCTGGCAACTTACTTTCTGCATTCAGTTTCTGTCAATTGGGCAACAATTCCCAGCTCATCCAGCCAGTGGCGAAGCAACACATGGAGGCAATATCTTTCCCAGAAGTTCTAAATTTCCTGTTCCTGGCAAGTTTTTACCAGCAACAGGATCACTATTCTGAAATATTTAATTATTAACAGTCCCGGATTTGCTGGGATAGTCCCACTTTTTAGTCAGCTGTCCTGTGACAGCTGTGTCCCAGGCAGTTGTGTACCTGGGGGAGGCCACAGCTCTGTTGGGGGTGCTTTAGGACTTTGCCTCCTTCTATTCTGCATACCAGGGATTTATGTCTTACAGGCCTTTTCTCTGACAGAACACTGCCTCTCCCATTTTCATTATTATTAGAGCACCTTGGCCAATAATGCTTGCAAATACAGTATGTATGCTCTACTGCAGCTACTGGCTCTTCTTCTCCAAAGTTACTCCTAGCCAAGGCAGCAGTGTGCAATGACAGCCATACTGGGTAGGATTCATTTCTTGGACATGTGTCAAGAAGCCGCTTTGATAACAGAAAATGGTACTACGTCTCTATACAAGATGGCTGCTTGCTGGAAGTCTGCCTGGGCTGCAGGGATCATCTGACTGAGGTTTTCACTGTAATGCCATGCAAAGCATTTTTGTCATTTTTCAAATGAATAGAAGAGTTGAAGAGATGGGGCAGTGATGAACCTCATCCAATCAGAGAATGCTTTGCATTTATTGAGAGCGGTACCTGCTACAGTGACTTCTAGCTTTCATGTGGACCCAGGTAAAGAATAGACATTTACGGTTTATTTCATTCTGAATTTAAATTTGGACCAATTATGAATTATTTGGAGATTCAGATGTATCTGAACTTCCGAATTACAATAGTAAAGAATTTAAACAAATCACAAATAACTAAATAAAATCGGAAACAAAAATAGAATAAAATAGAATGGAAAATAAAGGAATAGAATAGAAAGAAAATAATAAAGTAAAACAAAATAGAAAATAAAAAATAGAATAAAACATAATAAAAAAATAAAGGAATAGAATAGAAAATAATAGAATAGAAAAGAAAACAATACAAATGAATATAAAGAATATAACCATCTTCCAAAATTTGAATTTCGAATAGAATAAACAATTGAATAGAACAAAATAGAAAGAATATAATTATCTTCTGAAATTAGAATAGAATAAACTACCACAATAGGTGTCACAATATCCAGTAGTAAGGTCAGTGTCAAATGCTATTTTTAAATATTTTTTGCCATGTGTTTGTGGTATAACTGGTGTTTATCACTGTATTCTCTGCAAGAGCTGTTATCAGACTTTAAAGGGAGAGTTCCCCTTTACCAAAAAGCTGCTTATGCAAATAAGGGGTGGTATGTAGATAAAAACAAACTGTGCAGCTCTGACTAAAGTTGAATAATGCCTTAGCTATAGGTGTAGACCATTCACATACCTCCTTAAGTCTGACTGGAAAACTCCCAGGGTGTTGCTAGGTGGGGCCTAGTCATTACTGCTCACCTCCACCATCACAGGAGTAAGCTCTTAGATGCTGAGCTCCAAGCTACTGCATCAGGGGAGAGAAAGAGCATGTGAGAAGCTTTGAAAAGCTCACTTCTGTGATGGTGGAGGTGAGCAGTAATGACTAGGCCTCACTCAGCAACATCCTAGCAACGTCCTTGGAGTATTCCAGGCAGGAATACAGTGCTGATCTTCTGACTCTGCTGGGCTTAACATTAGTTGCCTTCTCCATTCATAGAACTCATAGTATTCCTTCCCAGAATGCAACATGTCCTGTGATGGGAGGAGGCAGATCCTGTCATTCATCTGTCCATTCTCCATTCACAAGACACTTTGCATTCGGTGTGGTTTGCACATGATGCAGCACAGACATCTGGAAATGGGACACACTTCATTTCAGGACAGCAGGTTTACTGTACAGTGACCCTGTCGGGGTGGAAAAAAATATCATTGATACCCTGTGAAATAAGCACTTACCTGCCCAGCATGATAAAACTGTGCTCTCTTGAAGAACTCCCAGTGCACTATTCAACGCCTTTGATGTGTGGAATAGCATGTCCTCCCACCAACCCCTGAGTCACCGCAGGAAACAATAAGGGTTGGCTGGAGGGACCACAGTGGCCAGCAGGGGGCATGCTATTCCACACACCCAATGGTATGGAATAGCATCAGAGCTCAGAGCTCTGCAAGTTTTAGCATACAGGTAAATATGAAAATATAAAACAAGGTGTAGCGCTAGACAATTATAATCATATATAAACCAAAATATTTAAGCTTATAAGATAATAGGTGACATAGTGCTGACTATAATCAAGTGACTTAGTGGTACCATAAAACAGTGTCACTCTCAAACAATATTATGCATATATATACATATGATGAAACAAGCATATAAAAGTGGCACCTGTGATAAAGTGCTAACAATGAAATAAAGTGACTTATTGGTGATATAATATGTCACTATATAGTGACCAATGGTGTATAAGGTGCCAGAAAATCAATTAATGATCTTCATATAGTCCAAAAATAAAGTGCATGGGAGATCGTGATGATCTTCAGTAACTTGTGGTCTTATCCTGTGTGATGGTGATGTGGCCAAAACCGTAAAAACTGCGCACTCACCAGATGCGCAATCAGTGTGCACATTTAGAGATAACACTCTCAGTAACCTGGAGGTCCCTTTAAGATGGAAGAGATCTGGTCTGATGTCCCTCACTGCTGAAAACTCCGCTGTCAGCATTGGCACAACTGCTCTGTGGGTGGTGAAAGCTCCACAAGGAGCCCCAGAAAGAGGAGGCCAATAGCGTAATATTGTTTTAAATGTAGGTGGTTTAATCCATATAACAGCAAATGAACAGAGACATAGGGGATAAAACAGCTTGAGCTGACCAGATTCCAAAGATGGCCACCGGGACCTACGTGGTGCCGGCGGCATGATGTCACGACGCTGTAGCTCCTCTCTGACGCGTTTCGTGAAAGGGCATGTATTCATAGGGGGTGTGCATACATCGTGAGATGTCTGGGCATTGCTATAAATAATGTAACTGGCGCATGCGCATTCCACATGCACCATTTTCTTGTAGACCGCAAATCTCCGCTCCAGGCGCCGTTTTGTCATAGGCGACTATCGGCGCATGCGCAAGCACCATTTAAACAGAGTGCGGGATGTAATCCATATCACTTAGATCACCAGGGAATAACATTATATATACAAAGTGCCAACAGATGACCGGATGAGAGGCACCAAAAGAGGTAACCAATTTAGAGTAATTCAGTACAAACTTCTAAATAATTCTCAAATGGTCATTATCGGGCAGGGGTGATTACTGCCCCCCTCTTTATCGTCTATGACCCACACATTTACTAATGCAGGACACAAAAAAGAAGTCTGGAAGTATCATAGCGTTGTCATGGCAGATACCAATGTGTGCTATTTCCAAAATATTAAAGATGTTAATAATAAATAGTGATCCTAGTGATACAGAAATACAGTATAACATTTCATATAACCATATAAATAAACATGTAACAGTACCTATACAGGTCAGGTAAGCCAAAAATCAAAATAACACATGAAGAATCTAAAAATAATCCACTGAAATGGATAGCTTAATATCATATGAATAAAATCAAATTTTAATAGAATAAAATATAGAATAAAATAGGTAAGAACTCTAAAAAATAAACTCCTATAAATGTCCTACAAAATAGATGAAATCCATAAAAATATATGTGTAATTTAAAATTCACAATGACCAAGTTAAGGGAGTAAAAAGCTAAAAGACTGTGAAAAAAAGGGCAATGAAGTCAATACAAAAAGGTTGCAAAGCGCTAAAAAAGAGGATAATCGTTCAAATAGAATATAATAAATATGGAACCCAATAACAGTAAAGGTCTTTAACCACTAGCCTACAGGGCACTTATACCCCCTTCCTGCCCAGGCCAATTTCCAGCTTTCAGCGCTGTCACACTTTGAATGACAATTGCGCGGCCATGCAACACTGTACCCATATGAAATTTTTATCATTTTTATGAGATAGATAGAGCTTTCTTTTGGTGGTATTTAATCACCTCTGGGATTTTTATTTTTTCTTAAACAAACCAAAAACCACTGAAAATTTTGAAAAAAAAACTTTTTTTTCTTAGTTTTTTGTTATACAGTTTTGTAAATAAGTGATTTTTCTCCTTCACTGATGTGCGCTAATGAGGCTGCAGTGATGGGCACTGATAGGCTGCACTGATGGACACTGATAGGTGGCACTGATGAGGAGGCACTGGTAGGTTGCACTGATGGGCATTGACAGGCATCACTGATGGGCACTGAAAGGCAGCACTGATACATGACACTGATATATGGCACTGATAGGCAGCACTGACTAGCACTGACTGGCACTCTTAGGCAGCACTGACTGGCACTGTTAGGTGGCACTGACTGGCACTGTTAGGTGGCACTGACTGGCAATGATAGGCGGCACTGACGGGCACTGATAGGCAGCACTGACTGGCACTTATGCGCACTGATAGGCGACACTGACTGGCACTGATAGGTGGCACTGATTGGCATTGATAGGTGGCCCTGATGGGTGACATTGAAAGACAGCTCAGATGGACACAGATATGTGGCATTGATGTGCACTGGTATGCACTGATATGTGGCATTGATGTGGCACTGATGGGCACTGGCACATGGCACTGACTGCTGGCACTGATGGACACTGACAGGTGGCACTTCTGGGGCCACACTGATCATCAGGGCACACTGATCATCAGTGCCCTGATGATCAGTGCACGTGTCCCCTCCGCGGAAAGCCGATTAATGGCTCTCCTCTCTTCTCAAGCTGTCAGCATGACAGCTCGAGAGGAGAGAAATGCCGATGACTGGCATTTCCGTGTTTACATGTGATCAGCTGTGATTGGACACAGCTGATCACATGATAGAGCCGACATCTTCGGCTCTTTCCGTGATCCGCTGTGTCCGAAGGACACAGCGCACTGGCGATCGCCATGCAGCACGCTCCCTGTGCCGCACATGCACAGTGAGAATGGAAGGACGTCATATGACGTCCTATCATCCTATCAGAACGAGAGAACCACCTTGCGCCCATCATTGTACCATATGGCGGGCGGAAGGTGGTTATAAATCCAAAAGGGATCGACATAAACAGCAGAGAATTAACTATTATCAATAGAACAATTGATGTTCATGTCTATGTTTAGTCCCCTGGGGTGCATAGACCCCATCTCAAATATCCACTTGGATTCCATTTGGGATACCGCCCTTCTTTATTTGTACCCCTCCAATGGGTTTTCACTATATCTATCTCGGTGAAAATCAGGGAAGAAGGATCTCTGTTGTGACAGAGTCGGTAGTGCTTCGAAAGTGAATGTTCCTTGTAGCTTCGTTTAACATTGTATACGTGCTCTCGTAGGTGGTCCCTCAGTCTCCTTGTGGTACGTCCCACGTACTGTTTATTGCACGGACATTGTAATAAATAGACTACGTATCTACTATTGCACGATATAAAATTGTCAATATTATAAGTTTTGCCAGTAGTGGAAGAAGTGAAGTTCTCCACCTTCCTTTTTCTGTATTTATTGCATGTGCATATTATACATTTGTTGCATGGGAAAAATCCCACCATATTGTTAAAAAAGGTTATGTTAGAAAGTGGGTTAATAATATTTGGGCTATCCTATTCCTTAAAGGTCTAGCCCTCCTGAATTTAATTTCCGGTTTATCTGGTAATATTTTTGCTAGGACCGGATCCGCCTTAAGGATTTTCCACTTATTATTAATTATTTTCGTGATAGCTTTATGTTGCTTGGAGAATGTTGTGACAAAGGGGCAGATTTTTGTCTCTGCTTAGCATTATTTCTCAATAGTAAATCTCTATTAATATTGGCTACTGATTCCAAAGTGCGTGTAAGTGTGGATTTGTCATATCCCTTTTCAACAAATCTATCTCTTAAAACTGAAGCTTGCAAAAAAAAAGTATCTAATGTAGTACAGTTTCTCCTAAACCTTAGGAACTGGCCCTTTGGAATATTTGAAAGCCATGCTGGGTGGTGGCAACTATTGACAGGAATATAGCTATTTCGATCTGTTGTCTTAAAGAAGGACTTGGTGATAATAGTTCCTCCTTGGTTTACTAGTGTAAGATCCAAAAAAATAATATTTGTCATGCTATATTCGTACGTGAGTTTTATATTCATGGTGTTGTTATTTAATGTGGTAAAAAAATTGATAAGCGCTTGCTCCTCTCCTTTCCAGATTAATAAAATGTCATCAATGTACCTCCATATAAAATTCTACTGCCTCTATTCCATCTGAATGATCAATACTAGTGTAGAGGGATGGAACATCTGCTGTAACCAGGAATGTATTGGGTTCAATAGACAGGTACTTAATATCCTCAAGGACCTGTTTTGTGTCTTTAAGGTAAGACGGTTTTATTCACCAACAGTTGAAGAAAGTGATCTATATATTCCCCTGCTCGAGAGCATAGGGACCCTATTCCGCTAATGATCGGTCTACCTGGGGGATTTGTGGAATTTTTGGGAGAATATACATCACCGGCAATCTAGGGGCTGAAGGACAAAGAAAGTCTCTTTCTTTTTTATAGAGACCTTGTCCTGGTAGCCCTTAGTAAAAATGGTTTTGAGAGATTTTTTTATAAATACTCAAAGGGTCTTTAGATAATGGGTGGTAAGTCTCTGTGTCACTAAGGATATTGTATACCTCCCTTACGTAGTCTTCCTTATTCATGACCACCACTCCCCTACCATTATCTGCAGGGTGTATGACCAAATCCTTTTTATTCAAAATGGAGTCAATGGCTTTCGTGACGTTCTCATGATTTCTATTATTTCTAATTTTAATCGCTTCTAGATCCTTCAAGACTGTGTCTTTAAAGACATTGACATGTCCATATGTCTGCGAGGGAGGATTAACCTCCCTGGCGGTATTCCCGAGTGTAGCTCGGGGTAGAGTTTTAGTACCAAAAGCAGTAACCCCGAGCTACACTCGGGCTTACCATGCGGCGCTGCATAGGGAGTCCCTGCAGCACTTACCTTGTCCTTCGCTCCCACGATGTGTCCCCTGAAGCGTCCCCGGCCATCTCCTCCGGCTGATGCCGGCATCCGGCTTCTGTGTTCCGGTCCCCGTGACGTCGGGACGTACGGGCGGCGGCGGGAAATTTGAAATTTTAAAAAATGTCATTTTTTTCAAAACACATTTTTCACAGTAAAACATTGCTGTTTCAACCCATTTCACATACATATTGTCCCTAGTGCTTTGTACTGTGCCCTGCCTACATTTTGTCTGTCTTTCTGCCTGAAAACTTAGAAAAATCCATGGCGTCCAAAAAATGTCCCTTTAGGTCAAAAGCGGTTTTAGACCAGCTAGAGAACAGCGATAGTAAATCAGAACCACTTGCAGAATTGAGTGATAATGATTCGTGGGGGAAATTCGTCATCAGACACTGAAAACGATTTTGCGACTTTGCTCAGCAATATACGAACTTGGCGCTCTATTTCAAATTTCAGTGTTTTCGGTTTGATTATATTATTGAATTAAATGTATTATTATTATATTATTATTTTTTATGATTATTTATTAAATTATAATTTATGATTTCGTGTTTCAAATTTTATCATACCCGGGATGTTTAATAGACTCTTGTTCGGACAGATTTCAGTGAGTTATTCCTAAAAATTACAGCCTACAATAAAAAAACTACATATTTCCATGCAAAATAATGGTACCGCTTTCAGCACCAAAAATCTGAAATAATCATACCGCCAGGGAGGTTAAACAGGGACGCATTGCGCAAATTGGAGTTTAATGCACTACCTGAGGCATTCCGCATGATGGGATTACTGTGAAAGTATTTGTCGTACAAATTTGTGTACATCAATGTGAGTGTTGAACTTATTTAACCTATTATTTGGTGCAAATTTAAGCCCTTTATCTAATAGGTCCAATTCCTGAGATGAAAGCTCCCTTTTACTTAAAGATACCCTTTCCGTTCACATCCTCCTCTTGCCTCCCCTCTTTCCTCTAACTGGGCACTTCTCTTGTGCACCTGTCCTTCTCCTAAAAAATGAACCGGTGTTGTATTGTTAACATGTCGTTCTTCCTGAAAATCGCGATCATTTCTGGATGGCGGATAATTAGGATCATTCCTAGGTGGTGGAACATAATTATTGTTCCTGAACTGCTGTGCCAGAGGTGTAAATCCTGGACTCCTCCAGCTATTATGTCTGAATGCTGTACCTCTATTGACCCTAGGGGGAAGGTGTTGTGAGGATTGTTATTATATCCTTGGTAGTTTACCGGTCTCCTATACTGGTTACCCTTAATTCTATGTTGAGGGTACCACTCATAATTTCTAGAACCAATATTGTCATCTGTCAAGGGCTGTAATGGTTTATACCGGTTCTGAGTACGTACACCATATGTTTCCCTATATTGAGGTCTCATTGGTGAGTTGTTTGGACTGCGTTTTCTAAAACGCTGTTGGTTGGGGCCCATCCAATTATTAGTGTTTCTTTGGGGCCTAGGTAAATATGAAGAAGCTTCTTTCATTGGTGATGAAAAAAATTTTCACCCCGTGAATGGGTCCGTTTAATAATCCCCCTCCGAAGCAGAACATACTCACCACCTTTCCTTCTCTTCTCTGCAGTTCTGTTTATTCGCCTGGAGCTAAAAAAAAAAACCTGACACTTCTAGGTATGGAGGAGCACATGACTTTTCCGGCCCCCATGTATACTTCACTTCCAGCAGCTGGGGAAGGGACATTAAAGTGAACCTGTTGCTTTGCCCTTCTAGATCAAAGCACATGATCACATTAAAGAATATGTAAACCCAATTATTCACATTCCTGATATGTGCCTGCTGTACCATGTACTTATATGAAAAAGTATCCTGTTCCCTTTGTATTGCTTTCTTTGTGTGAATCCCATTTTTCCTACCAGTCCCTCTGCTTTTCTATTAAAAATTGACCACACTAGGCATGAGAGCACAGCGTGGTTAGTTTTCTGGCTGTGCTATGAACACTAAACAGACTTCTGCTGACATCCCCCCTGCACAGCCAATCAATGGGAAGATCAATGTGCTGCTGCTTCTCCTCCACCACCTAAGATTCTTATGCAGCTGCGAACAGAGGGTATGTGATTAAAAAAGGGGGGGAAAAGGGTATTCATGATGGGGTTTTTTTTATATGTATACACAAATGTTTTGCCTTTCATTTCTATTTTAAACTGAATGGGTTGTTTTATAATGTGAGGGTTTACATATCATTTATATGTACAGTATCTCACAGAAGTGAGTACACCCCTCACATTTTTGTAAATATTTTATTAGATCTTTTCATGTGACAATACTGAAGAAATGACACTTTGTTACAATGTAAATTAGTGAGTGTGCAGCTTGTATAACAGTGTAAATTTGCTGTCCCCTCAAAATAACTCAACACACAGCCATTAATGTCTAAACCACTGGTAACAAAAGTGAGTACACCCCTAAGTGAAAATGTCCAAATTGGGCCCAATTAGCCATTTTCCCTCCCCAGTGTCATGTGACTCGTTAGTGTTACAAGGTCTCAGGTGTGAATGGGGAGTAGGTGTGTTAAATTTGGTGTTATCGCTCTCACTCTCTCATACTGGTCACTGGAAGTTCAACAACATGGCAAAGAACTCTCTGAGGATCTGAAAAAAAAAGAATTGTTGCTCTACATAAAAATGGCCTAGGCTATAAGAAGATTGCCAAGACCCTGAAACTGAGCTGCAGCACGGTGGCCAAGACCATACAGCAATTTAACAGGACAGGTTCCACTCAAAACGGGCCTCGCCATGGTCGACCAAAGAAGTGCTCAGCATCATAT